CTAAAGCAAAGGTGATTTTTTTTAACCGTGTCACAAATAACATCAAAAGAAAAAAATATTGCGGATAAATATTCAGGCTACCGAGTACAGATGACATGCATATGACACAGTTGCTGACAAAGAAAACAATTACAGTAAACCGTATAAAAGTAAAAAATCGTTCTCATCATTATTCCAATTAATATTTAAGTCCTATTTATTGCTGTTACAGCATTCGACTATTCAGCTGATCATTTTGGTACTTTCATTTTTTTATCAACAGTTAATATCCAAGCAAGTAAAAATTTGGAAAAACGCGTTTAAACGCTTAAAATGGAACCGCGATTGTGATTCATTCGTGTTGATTAAAAAACGCAAGAAACAAGTTTGTTCACGTGAAATTTTCATTTTGAGAGCGTGAAAATGGCGAAAAATTCAAAACATGAGCGTTATCTTTTAATTCTAGAATAAAAGCGCGTTTTAACATTAAAAACTGAAGTTTTTCGTGGCTAGCATGCTCTAAAAGTGAAAATTTTGTGTAAATAAACGTGTTTCTTGTATTTTTTCAATCAGTCTGAATGGATCACAATCGTGGTTTCATTTTAAGCGGTTAAATGTGTTTTTCTAAATCTTCGAGCTTGGGCATTGAGCAGAGTCTTTCATCTTGCTGCTGCTATAGCATATAATTTTAACAATTGCAGAAAAATTATCATTAATACCTCCCTATGTATCTTTAGTTTCTACTTTCAGATACACTCGGTACTGTTCGACTATAATTACGTAATGTACCACTTGATGATATTTTCAGCTGCAACCATTGAAGCATTTTTAACAGCAGGTTGTACAATCCTAATCACATTATGTAACGAACGTCTAACTACATCAATAAATTGTTCAATACCACACCATGTAAGATTGTGGTTGCTGTTTTATCAATTTTTATTTCTTCAAATACTTCACAAGTATCAAGTATTTATTGAGATTGTTCCTTAAGATTTCCAACAGTTGTTAATATCGCACCACTATCATATGCTTTTTGTGTAAGTCTAAGATCATTTTCTTGTACACGTTCAGCACAAAACATATGTATCTTAAGATATAAATAATAATAAAAAAACAAATGAAGCTATCGATAATTCAAAATTTATGGAATCGAAATCAAAGAAAAACTTGGTCCTGCATGTCATCTGTACTCGGTAGCCTGAATATTTATCCGCAATATTTTTTTCTTTTGATGTTATTTGTGACACGGTTAAAAAAAATCACCTTTGCTTTAGAAAACTCGATTGTTCTTCTTTTTGATAATATTTCAAAGCGCTGTAAATACGGGTTTCTATTCAAAAATTTTCTATCAAGTACTGTAGTAAATATTAAAAAGTCACTTTCGTCGAAAGTTGAGCTTATGACGAAACTTCTTTACGTCCTAAATTGATTTTAATTCTGAAAAAGAAAGCTAAGAAAACTGACTTTCGAATTTCGACTTCAAATTTTGCATGGGCAAAAGGTTTTAACGAGAGTGTGTTTTTTTGTGAAAGTTTCAGGTGGAAACATCAGAGCTAAGGGTTTATATATGATTGATTCAGAGGAAAAACCGAAGTCGATTTATCTGTTCTGGAACTTGTCTTGTTAGAAAAGCCCAAATCAAAGCAATCGAACATAACAATAAGTCTTATTTTCGTTTTCTATACCTACTGATTGAGACTTGATACTTCCCGCATACATCTATCTAAGGGTGGCCTGCTGGTTCCCTCACATATATCAAACCATGGCACAAGTTTTTTTTTACAATTTCAAATAACAGGAAACAAAAAAAAAGATTTCTTACCGATGAGAAAAATATTGTGTTGCAACATCATCAATAGATGATTTTTATTGAACATTGAGTATCAACGTTTTTTTTTGTTATATTCCTATGAGTATAGATGTAAATAATTTTAATAGAGAAAAGCTCTATTAAAGAACAGATTTTTCCCGGAACATTATAAAGATGAATTTCGGCAATGATACGTTGAGCTTCTAATATAATTAAAAAAAACCAAAACAATATGTTTCATTATGCAATGAAATCTTCTATTTCAAGTAGACGACCAGTTGTTGTTGCTTTTTTAAATTCCAACCCTAAAAAGAAAAAAAACAAGAATAAATCAGACGAACGAACCAGAGACCAAATCGACTAACAAACTAACATAAATTACCAAATGTTAACATATTTTATATTATATTTTACTTTAAAGAAAAACTAAACTGTCGAAAATTCTTGTGTTGTTCATTCAATAACCCTTTTGAACAATATTTAGAAGTTTTCGATCAGAAAACTTGCAGTTTGTTAAAAATCTACGCTCGGAGGCTTCTGACCGATGCAACTCCTCTATTTTCCTGAAGCAAGAATCTGTGAATCTTGTAAACTATGCTACATTGTTGATAATTTTTGAAGGTCTTAATGTGTTTTATGATGTAAGACAATTACCTGATTTGACTTCTTCGTTCTCATCTATTCAAAATAGATTTAATTACATATTGAATGGAAATAATTCATCAAACATAAGAACAACATTAAGAACCATTTTTGAGAATAAAATGTCTTGTTGTCATCTGATTCATTTTGAACTTAATGTTGTACATACACATTTTCCAAGTAAAGCTCGATGATTTTCTCTAAAGATGAATTTTTTTAAATCGATTTAGAAAAATATAAAATATTGAAATTCTTACTTAGCATCATTCGTACGATTTAATATGAACAACCATTTCTTTTAATTTTCTTCTCTATTGCTAATGCTGAAACTTTTCATAAAGCACGAATAATTATTAAGTTGGATGCTGCATACCAGATTCAATAAATTTTATTGTATTTTTTCATGTTTCAGTTGTTCATAAAAAAGCTAATATTGTACCATCATTATGCGAACTGTTGGTAAGGTGGATGATTTCAAATAATTTAAGGGTACCCCCCCCTCCTTCTTTTTCGATCAAAAACTCGATTTCGAGTTGGGCATAAGCTTTGATAGCCTCAAGTGTTATGTACAATTAGACACATAATTCGACTCCAAACACCTTACTACTACAGAGTTACTGAATTAAAGAATGTTTTTTTTTATAGTAATCATAAGAATTTTTTTTCCTTTACTTAGCGTAGCGCAAAACTACAATTTTCTCAATCGAGCCTGCTTACGACTCCCCTCTAACTTTGTCCGATCGGACTGACATTTTTATCACAGATACTTGGAAGTATTCTCCAGAGGTAGAATTCACCGTTTTCGTTTTGGACCTTCCTATCCGGATCTATAGGATTGTGAACACCAAGACCCGGATTCTGGATCTGAACCTTTCGGTATTTCTCTCATAAGAAAAAGAAAGAGAGATTTTTGAAAAAGCTTAAAACTACCTCTGAGATATAGTCTTAGGTTTCTCCAAAAACGTTTTCAGAGCAATCGGATAAAATTTGATGGGGGCCGTAATGTGGCCCGATGCTGATCTATGGAAAACTAGAGTTTTACCAAAGACATCGCAAAAACCCTTTTTAAAACTTTTTTCCTTGAACACGTGTAAGCTTATTTCAGGTGCTCTAACTGTGGTAAAAATGTCAGTCGGATCGGTTGTACCCTCTTTGAGAACCAGAAATGGTCAAAAAAGAGGGGGGAGGGGGTACCATTAAACGTGATAATTCAATATCAATTGGTAATGCTGCCATTATTTTTCCAAGAAATGGTAAATCTCCATCAAATGGACGAATTTCATCTTGACCTATATGAATTGTTAATGCTTAACAAACTTCTTTTAATTTAAGAACTGTCACTTCAATATCATTAATATTTGGTGGTTCTAATGCAAGAACTAACATAGATTTAACAAGACAATAACATTTTCCATGTACAACACGACCAGCTCGACCTGAACAAGTAAATATACAAATATTACTAAACAAACAAAATAAAAAGAATTTAAACAGAACCTCGTCGTTGATCACAATTAGCTTTTGATGCCCATACAAGTTGTAAACATGAATAATTTGTTTCAGGATCACAAACCATTTCTTTATCCAAACAAAAATCGATTACTAAAAAAGAAATCATTTTTACAATCATTAGTAGAAAAAGCAATATTTATTAATCTTACCATATTGAACATCGGGAATCGTAATTGAACTTTCAGCTATATTTGTTGCCAAAATTATCTTTCAAAAAAAAAGCACAAACAAATTAAAAAAATAACAAAGAAGAATCTTAAAATATTTTTCAAACACGATCTTCACAAAGAGTGTTGGAATACAGGAATTAACTCCACCACACTTTTTAGCAATCCCTACTTACAAACCCCGACAAGTCTAGTCATGGAATTATAGTGGATTGAAAAGTAGATCCATTGTTTTTCATATTTAAATCCAATAGAT